TATAATGATAGATTACAGTCCAACTTTGGAAGTCTTTACCTCCACCCCCTTCCACACACACACACACACACCAGTGATGCATTTTCTTTCTCCCGTCCCTTTTCCCCTTGTCCCCCTTGTACTTTCTCTTTTCCCAAGGAACAGCCCCAATTCTTCCTTTCCATCTTTACATCAGGCAGATTGCAGAAGAAGCCTTGTCTGGCCCCCAGCGGCTTCATTTCTCTCTCTGCAGGCCCAGAGAAATTTTGGAGGATTAAGATGCCAAGGTGAAGGCCATTTCCATATGCAGCATACTGTGGTTGAATTGCTCTAAAAAAGAAGAAAGACTATGGGGGTGGGGGGTGGGAGCGTATTAGAGAATGGGAAAGAGGGGAGGGGAGAGGCAGAGAAGAAGCTCCCAAGAGAGGTGGGAAGGGGCGCCAACTTCCTTTTGCCCAAGCAGATGATGAACTTTTTCAGTAAACCCCCCCAAGCTGCTGTTTTACCTGTTTCTGTTATTTTTACTGCTTCAGGCATGTTTTCGTAAGCAGCCAGTTCCTGCCAAGAGAAGAAACCAGAATGTCACTGGGATAAAGGAATATATTTTGTTTGTTCGTTGAAATGCAGCAGCAGATTCGCATTCCACAGCCCTGGCAAAGGTCAGCGCCTGAAGGCAGGAATGATGGAAAACCTTTGCACAGGGTAAGGGGGGGCGGGGGGGGCCTACAAGGACAGCAGGGGAACATCTGGCCACAGGAAGCCCATGAGTGGAACAGCCATTGCCCAAACCCTCTACCCTTTCAACTGAAAGGTCCCTTGTGACTAAATAGCATTCAATATTTCACTCTAATCAGAACAGGCACAGGTGACACATTTCAACTAACGTTCCGGTGATCTTGCTCTTCCAGTACGGAAGGACATCACCTTTCTTAGCTCCATGACCTGGAAAGGGATGGCATGGTGGGGGGGAGGGGAAGATGGCTGTTGCAACCACACGGTCAAAACCCTGCTCCTGTCTTACATATGTTTGCATGCATTGTTTGGTGCACATAAAAAAGGGGTCAGGATCTTGATTGCATGGTTGTGGCCACCACCTTTCCTTTTTACACACACACCCACAGATTTCTGAGTGCTGGACAACCCCTGCTTTAAAGGAAGAAAGTTCCAAGTTCCATCCTGCCTTCCCTGATTAAAAGATTGCAGAGCTGGGAAATAATCTTGCCCAAGCACTGATAGGAGAGAGAGAGTGTGCGCGCATGTGCCTTTGAGTCACTCTTGACTCCTGGCGACTGCCTGGACCAGTCGCTGCAGTTTTCTTGACAATATTCCTGGAAGTGTTTTGCCATTGCCGCCTTCTTCCTGGAGCTGAGTGAGAGGAACTGGCCCAAGGTCACCCAGCTGGCTTTGTGCCTAAGGTGGGACTAGAACTCACGGTCTCCTGGTTTCTAGCCCGGTGCTTCAACCACTGCACCAAAGTGGCCCTCCCTAATTAGGAATAGGGCATCAAATAAGGAAGCTTCATAGCAAGAACCTCTGAGCAGAATCCTTCATTTCTCCCATTTGAAAGAAGAGAACTATGGGGACTCAAGATAGCCTTTTACTGCTCTTGTTTTATGGAACAGTCTCTCTCTGGAGGTCCTGTTGGCACCAAACCTGGTGTCCTCCTGTAAGGCTGTGAAGTTGGAACACTTCCACAGACCTTTTGAGGTGTGATCTCATCTAGCCAAGATGGTGATGGTGGTTCATTATTATTTTAGGCTATTCTTTGGTGAAATAAAATAGGAACTGTATTTCTGTTTTATTTTGGGTCTGTTGTGAACTACCATGTGCCATTTCAGGGTCTGTGGTATGCAAAACTAACAAACTAACAAAGAAAGGCATCCCTTGTCCCACATAATGCTTCAATACGGGTTTCTAAAATGAAACTTTCTTATCCGAACTTGAAGCAGCCTCAGGTTTTGGGGAGCAGAACTTAAAACCAACCATTGTCCATGACATGAATAACATGTAACCTTAAGACAGCATGGATCATGGTTAAAGGCCACAAGGAATACAGTATGATGGCAGCATGCCCAGTCTTGTTAAACCACAAAAGTGGGTTAGGCACCATAGGAACACGTAAACCCTGAATGCAGCTTCTTTGGTTTTGATTTTGGTGGCTGTATGACCCTAGCCGTTGTCATTTATAAACCATGGTTTGAGGCTTAAAGTGATCAATAAAATCAGGTACTGTGGCGAAAGCAAACTGTGGTCAAAACCAACCATGACTTGGCATGACTTTCATCCCCGAGTTCTGAAATTGTCTCTGCATCCTATGTTTACTGTGTTGTACTTCTTAACAGTTGAGAGGTCAGATCAGATTCGACCCCATCTCTCCTCTCCCCTCTCCTCCTCTTACTTTGATGAGACGCAGGATTTCAGGGCAGTCCCGCGGCTCAGCTGGGCGCACTCGGAAGCGATTCATGGAGTTGCCGATCCCTGCCATAATGAGAGCTCGAAGCAGCGGGGTGGCTGTTCGCTTCCCAGAAAGGCGCTTGTGCGCTGCTGGGTCTCTGCTCGGGCTGCTTCATTCACCATCTCAAAGAGTAAAGGTTGGACAAGGCAAGAAAAAGAAGAAGAAGAA